GTCCCCCCAGTCTTGATGACTGCATGTCATGACGTCTTCCTGTTTGCATTGAATCTCCCAGGTCCTCTGAGCTTCTTGAACTTGTATATCGAGATTTGGAGCAAGGCCTGGAATTTCCTCTATTATATCTTCAAATAGCCTTGTCCAACCTTGATGTTGTCTCTTCTTCCTCTTTTGGTAACCTATGACCCTCCATTAGTTTTTTTCACATAATCTCACATCTCTTGTAGGCCTTTGCTCTTTTCTTGTTTCTCTGCTCTATTTCTGTGACTGATTTATTTAGTTGGGAGGGTGTTATCTTCAATCTCTGAGATTCTTTCTTCTGTTGATCTACCCTATTCTTGAGACTTTCCACTGTATTTTGTAGTTCTCTGAATTGATTCTTCATTTCCAGAAATTCGGTTAAACTTTTTTTATATGTGCTAGGAGGGGGGAGGGGGGCGGGTATATACCTACATAATGAGTGAGATGTGCACCATCTGGGGGATGGTCATGCTGGAGACTCAGACTTGTGGGGGGAGGGGGGAAATGGGCATTTGTTGAAACCTTAAAATCTGTACCCCCATAATATACCGAAATAAAAAAAAAAGAAGCAATTTAAGCGAGTGAGAGGTAAACAGATTGGTCGGCTCTGTGCCAGGCGCAGGGGACTGTGCGCGGCAAGGGGCTGGCGTGAGGACGCGGGCGTGGCACGTGTGCCGGGTGGCTCGGGCTCGGGACGGACACTCACCATCTGCGATGTCGATGCCCGGGCTGGTGGATGCCACCTGCCCCGCCGTGCTGGCAATCGTGGCAGGGTTGTCAGGTGCGGGGTGGGGGCCCTCTTGGCACTCGGGAGGTGAGCACAGACTCTGGATCAGCTCGGATGAGCCTGAGACACTGTCACAGGTTTCTGACTCCCCCGTGCCTCTGTCCGTGTCCTCTGAGCCGGGGTACGCTGGGGGGCTCTGGTCATCCCCGGGTACGGGGCAGCCCTGGCCCACAGAGGCCAGGTAACTGGGGCCTAAGGCACGCAAGCTGCCACTCACAGCCTCGTCGTAGGACGGGAGCATGACGGGCACGCCGTCCACCACCACAAAGTCAGGGTCGCTGCTGGAGCTCCTGGGAGGGCCCCTGTGCAAAGGAAAGCAGTGCCGCGCGTCAGAGCCATGCCACCCTGCGGGCGAGGCCGCCAGCACACCCCGCTGCAGCTGGGGTCCGCGGGGCGTGGGTGGGGGTGCAGAAGATCCAGCCTCCTTGCCAGGTCTCTGCTGGCACACGGCGCCGTCCGCCACAGCCATGCCCGCTTTCCTCTCCTCACGCTCTCGTGCCCTCCTGCGCCTGGGCCTGCTCTCCCCCGTGCCTCCTCCCCTCCTTGGTCCCCACGGGGACCATCAAGCGCAGGGAGCGGTGGACCCTGCGTGCCCACGGGCGCGGCTGGCCTGCCCATGTTGCGCTTATCTACTGCTTTCTGCTACAGCTCCAAAATCACTAATTTCCAGTCAAGATAGAAAAACAACAGGAAAAATAATGGAAAGCTCTGAGCCCATCTCACTACCCCGCTCCAGTCCCGTGGGCTCACCTTCGCCTCCCGACCCTTGGGGCACTCCAGGCTAAGCAAGGCCTCCCCACCTGGCTCGAGGGAGCCAGGGACGCCGAGAAGTCAGTCCGCCGATCTGTGGGTGTCCCCTTACGTGGGCACACACGCGCTCCTGGCCTGGTGCCCTTGCCTCTCAGCACCTGCACTTTCGACCCTGCCCGCGGGGGCCCTGGTGGCACCCGACGCCTCCACCAGAGCTCCCTGTGACCACCACGCCTGCTCCGGGCCCCAGGGGAACCCAGCGTGCCTAATGAGTAGCTCAGAGAACTTGGTTTCTTACTGACGAGGCCAGGAATGGACGTGTCAGGAAAAGTCCACCCAGCCGCGGGGCAGATGCTGCGTCCCTGTGTGGCTGCTGCCGGAGCCCCGCAGGATGACGTGTTGGAAGTGGCATGAGAGGTGGAGGGAGGCGTCAGGCCGTGCCTCTACCACCTAACACCCTAGGGACAGTCTCAAGTCCAGTGACTTTTTGAAACACCTTCAAAGGCTCAGAGATGAGCAGCGGGCTCCCTGTTCTGGCACTCTTAAAGGCTACCCATTGAGGCAGGAGACTGCCAAGGCCACGCTCCAGAAGACAGGAGGCAGGAGGGAGGGAAGAGCTTGCTCCAAGTCAGACCACTCTCTCTGTGGCAGCCACTACCTAGCGTGTCCCTGACAATGAAGCTCCCTTTCTCTCCGCTGTCTTGTGCTGGCCTCCTCTTCTGATTTGGGACTCTCTGCCTCCTCCCCAGGCCTGTCCCCTCCACACTGTCCTGGCCAGGGTGGGGAGAGGGCCCTCTCTTGTCCATTCCCCGCCCCCAACAGTCCACATCAGGCCCGGGAGCCCTCCCTTCCAGGGGTCTCGGCCCCGCTGCTCAGCCCCCAAACCCAGGCACTAACCCCTCCGCAGGGTAGCTCCTGTGGGACCTAGAGGAAAAACCCACCTTGGCTTGCCCTTGAGAATCCAGTTATCTATTTGGAGAGATGAGACCAGCTTCCCTAAACAACTTGAGAATGACATAAGATGGAAATATGCAAGGCCTAAAGAGCATCGAGTGAAAGAGTTTTGAGAACGTTTTTTAAAACATCTTAATATTGAGTCGATATCCTGGAAACTTTTCTTGCAAGCATTATGTAGAAAAATAGCTCTGTGGGCCATTTAAAGCACTCTAAGGTGCCATCAATCACAGCTGTGTAGCTTAGCTTTCTCTTTGTAATCCTTAAGCCTTCTCTAGATGCTGGCACGTGGTCTCTTGATTAATAAATAACAATGCTGAGGACAGAGACTGGATGGTAGGCTTGCGAGGAAGGAGGGTTCTGGGGCCTTAGGAAGGGCCTGGCTCTGGCACCAGGACATGCGGAGCACTTCTGGGCCCGGGGAGGGATGCAGGTGACCCCACACCTAGCACACCTGTTATGGCTGGGGACAGCAGGGTGCCTGTGGGTGTGGCCACCGGCCCCGCTGCCAGGTGGGGGAGATGGCTGAGTGAGGTGAGGCTGCCTGGGGCCACAGCTAAAGGAGAGGGTGGGCGGATGGCCTCCAGCAACTCTGCCTGCGCCCTCAGTCCTCAGCTGGGAGGTGTGGGAGACACCCTGGATGTGCCCAGAGGGAAGTGGTTAATTCCAGAGCCTTCTCTTCCACTGAGCAATATTCCCTTTATTAGGGGGTGATGACATGACCCTGGACAGCTAGGCTGTCCCTGTGGGCAAAAACAAATGCCATTTCCTGAAGCATTAGGTTTCAAAATGAGAAAGCTGAGCCACGGCCACAGAATGCGGGCAGGCGGCTTGCTCAGTGGCCCGGCTAGGGCTGCGTCTCACCCTCTTCTGAACACTTGTGAACTCATCCCTTTGCTTTCCTCTAGGGACAGTGCCCTGCCAGCCGTGGTGCTGGGTGGCTCTTTGTTCCTAAGGGTGCTGGTGGAGTCCTCCTTGGCGATGATGACTAGGACGTCGAAGACACCAAACCAAGCTAACTGGTGCTGCCGAGAAGGGCGGAGGGCCACTCTCTGTGTGTCCCACTATGTGGGGCCAGGCCCAGCTCCGAGGTAGAGTCTCACTAGCCTGAGACTTCTCCTGAGACTTCCCAACACACACTCACACCTTCGTTCACACACCTCTGACCCTGTGCCCAGCCAGTTGTGTGCAAGTCCTGTGGCCGGAGAGCTCCGTGCTAACGCCAGTGCACCACCATGGGAATGGCACCCCAGTGGGTGGGGCAGGACACGGCTTGCAGCCCCACGAAGCCTGCCAAGAACACCCTGCTGAGGACAGACAGGCCCATGGGGGGAGGAGGAAAGAAGGAAATACGGCCCATCTCCAGCATGGGGCTCTGAGCCCAGAACCCCAAAACATCCCAGGAAAGTGGCTTTGGCTCTCCCCTGTGTCCCCTGAGAACCTCAACGCTGCACACATCACATGCTCTCTCTGCTGCCGAAGGTGGCCGCCCTGAGCCCGACCCAGGGCACCGTGGGTGCCAAGGTGCAGCACTGACCTGGGGGGGAAGTGGGCCTTGAACTTGGTCTGGAACATCCTGGCCAGTATGACGAGCAGCAGCACCAGCAGCACACTGGTGGCCGTGAATGCCACGATCTTCCACGTGGTCAGGAGGGTCTCGTGGGTGCTGGGCCAAGTTTGCTCTGCCGTGAGAGAGAACAAAGCTGGGCGTGAGGTGCGGACTGGCGCAGGTGCCGAGGTGGCCCGTGGGCTCCTCTGCTGGATTCAGCTGGCACGAGACACGCGTGCACTGTGGCCTCCTGACCCCCAGGGTTGGGCGGAGACGCGCGAATCGTGTCAGGAACCACACCGCAGCGTGGGCGCGCCAGGCTGCAGACAGACCTGCCCGTTCGCGCTGCAGCCCGGGGCGAGGGCCTGGCACAGGCCTCGGTAATGCACCTGCGCCCTGACAACGGAGGGGTGGGGCTCTCTCCCTTGGAGAAGTTGTTCCGGAATGGACCAAGGGCTGGAGGTGCAAGAAGCTGGCTGACACCCATGAGTGTTCTGGGACCTACTGTTGGGCAGGAGAAGCAAGAACGCAGGATAAAGGGCATGCCTGCTCCACAGCCCTCACCCCCACCAGCTCTGCGGGCAGCCGTCTGCCAGGCCGGGGAGCAAGAAGAGACCTCCCAGGAGAGGTTCTTTTCTTTTGACACAGGCCACCCTGCCTTAGACCTACCCTTGCCCAACCGTCATGCTCGGGGACCGCCCTCTCGGACTGGCCCTGCCTCCCCCGCTTGCTGGCTGGCGGGGCCGCCGTGCCCCCGGAGACCCAGCGTGAACAAGCACTCCCTCAGTGCTGCGTCCAGGGAGATGCACGCCGCCATCGCCACTGCTCGGGCCGCAGCCGCCGCCTGGAAAGTGCTGGAGAGAGTGGCAGGCGACGGCGGTCCCGTCACAGCCGGTGTGCTGAGGCCCAGGGAGCTCGGTGCAGGCCATCTGTCACTGACAGGAGGCGCTAACGCGTGCAACGGCCTGCCCTTCTACACGTGGCGGCAGGGGTACCCACAGCACCATCTGCGGTCTGACACGAGTCCTTGCGTGGAGGAGAAAGGCGGAGGTGCACATCCAGGGGTCCCAGGGCAGTGCGCGCAATTCTGGTCACACCCTGGGCCTTGTCCTCGCCAGTGGAGAGGGACGAGGCTGGGAGAAAGTGGAGAGCATAGAGGCTGGAGGCCCTTCCGTGGGCGCTGGGGGTAGGGACCCGAGTCAGAGCAGGCTGGTACTCTGACCCATGAACAGGGCCGAGAACCACACAGTACAGAGCCCGGCGTCAGCCCCGCCGACCCAGAGACACGCTCGGCGCCTTGTTCCTGACGCAGCGTGTAGGAGGAGACACGCAGCTGGGGCAGAACCACCGCCCACCGCCCACTCGAGGAGGGCCCTCCGCCAAGGCCCAGGCCTCTGACCGTACCTGATTTGATGCAGTAGACTTGGTAGGAAGGAAACCACTCTCCGTACTGGCAGGTGATATACTTGTAGTCGCTGGTGAGGCTGTAGCCAGGGTCGCAGTAAAACTCCACCACGGTCCCATGGCTGTAGCGCTGACAAGGCCGCGGGTGGCAGACGAAATCCCCGTGACTCACCGTTGGAGGTAGTGGACAGACTTGGGCAGTGGGGGAGAATAAGAGTTTCAGTACCAAATGCTCGCCCTGGCTGAGGACACAGACTGACCTAGAGAACTCAGTTACTTAAAGATGTGCTCATGATCAATCACCATTTCTTGTGAAACTGCACGTGAAAAAAAAATTTTAAAGATTTTAAAAAATTAATCACCAGACTATTGAGTTGTACTGGAGATGGTCCCTTCTTTTGCATTTCTGCGTGAGGGCAAATGAAAGCCTGTTATGCTATTCCGAGCATGTGCCGCTATGACATGGCATTGCAAGTACATCGTGAAAGAAAGGTTCATTTTACCAAGCAAAGAATATGCCTGTTTAGTAGGCAGTATTAAGCAACCCTGTTAATAATGCATGCTATTATGGGCCAGACAACCTAATAATTAAAATTAAGACATTTATGGACAAAATCTTTACTGAAAGGCATAGCTATCCCAAGCCTGTTTCTATGGCCATGGTAGCAATTTGGGACGATTCACATCATAGAGCAGTGTCCCTAAGCTGAGCCCCAGTGGCCTGCTGGGTCTGGCCAATGAGAAATGTGGAGCAGTTCTTCTAGCTCTGCTTACAGACCCAGGCCATGCCCGGCTCGCCCAGCGGGGAATGAGAGCCAGGAGCTTGGGTTCTAGGGCTGGTTCTGTCACCCACACGTAGTGTGACCTTACGCAGGTCCTTCACTTCTTAAAGCCTTGGTTTTGCCCTCTGTAAAATGGGGCCTATTCTACTGTAGCTGATGTTTTAAGATTTTTCTGACTCTAATATTCCATCATGTTAGGGGAAGAAAAAAAGTTGTTTTTAGTTTCCTGTCTTGAGACTGTGTCCTGGGTTGAGAAGTGAGAATGGCTCCAGGAAGACGAGTTTGGTGCATGTTCACCTCGAGCCACAGAGAGCCTTTCCTGGAGAAGGACTCGAAATACCCAGCACTGCCACTTAAACATTTTTCAGGAAACAAGCAAGCCACAAATTCTACCAATGCCAGCTTCAAACCCACACCTATGGAAACCACTAAGAACTCTGACTAAAAGAAACACAAAAAGCCAAGCCAACCAAAAGACATTAACTTCTGAGCCCCTTCCAAGGGGTGACCCAGTGCCGGCGGTGCAGAACCGCGGGCCGCGCCCCCCAGGTGCGCCTGCGGCCAGCGCCGCCCGCTCCAGACTGGCCACCGGACTGCTCGCCGCGGCGGCCTGAGGGTGCGGAAGGGGTGAGAGCCCCACAGGCTCTCTCAGCCTGCAAGCGAGGCGCAGTGTGGCTCTCCCGCTCTCTCCCAGGCAGGGAGGCAGACACTCGGGTGAGCAGCAGCGGGCTCGCTCCGGACAGGCTCTGTCCGAGTTCCGGCTGAACCCCCAGCTGAGCGGCCCCAACAAGCAAGTCCCTTCTTGTTGCTGAGCGCGGAGTGCATGTCTGTCAGACAGGAGTCTCTGGGGGTATCCTGAGCAACGCCAGCCAGGGCTTGGACCGGAGCTGGCGGATTTTAGGTGGTCAGTTGGGCCAAGCAGGACCAAGTATCTAGGGGAATGAACTGGAATGAGGTCATGACTCCCACGGGTCATGGCAAAGTGGAGAAGCCCGCAGAGGCACCCCCAGATTAGCAGGAGCAGGACGCCACCACCACCCCTGTGCTGGCGGGATGTAGATTCCTCGTTGCTGGGGTCCGCAGTGGAAGTTGCAACCACGGAGGTCTATCCCGCGGGAGCCGGAGCCCTAGGAAACGCAGGCCCTGCAGAGAGAGTGAGGGAGAAGTGCCCTAGCTTCTCCACCTGCCCACACGCCCAGCTCCCTCTGGACAAGGGGCCTGGGAACGGGGCTGCAGTGGGCACCTGCACACGAGGCACAGCACAGAGGAGGTCCAGGGACAGATCTGAGGCCGACAGCCCAAGGTGTCAATGAATGGTGGCTGTCGGGTGCATGCTGGCAGGGCGGACAGGGGCTCTGACTCTGAGGCTGAGGTGCTGTCCCACTGCCTCAGGGTGCCTCCTGGCTGGCAGACAGTCATACAGTCCCAGGCATCTCCATTCCCACAAAGGGGCTCTTTTCAAATTTGACACATCCAGGTGCTCTGGGAGCACCCCAGCAGGCAAACAATGCAGCAGGAAAGGGGAGGACGGCCGGGGAGGCAGAGGCAGAGGGAAGGCACTGGCAACGTCGAGCTGGTCCTGGGAGGTGCAGAGATGCAGCAGTGAGGGCTCTTCCTCCCATGGCCCTGCTCTGTGCCACTCTGCTCCTCCAGGTCTCGCAAGACCTCAGGGAAGGGGAGCCCAGTGGCCTCCAGGGCTGCCCAGCACCAGCCCCCGCACCCTGCACCGCCGGGAGTGCTCCCAGGCACTGCTGCCTGGTCACAGAGGCCAGCACCTTCTCTAGGACCGGAGGTCTTCTCTGTGGGCCGGGATACGCTAAGTGTCCATCGACAGAGGAATGGATGTCTGTGGGCGATACACACCACCGAATATTATCCAGCCTCAACAAAGGAGGAAAGCCTGCCCTTTGCAACAACGTGGATGAACTTGGAGGGCGTTATGCCACGTGACATAGGCCAGACCCAGGAGGACAGATACTGCAAGATCTCACTTATTTGTTAAACCAGGACAACACCTCTCAAAACCACACTTAACAACGTGGAATCTAGAAAAGTCAAACAGGCGGATACCGACAGTAGAAAGGTGGGCACTAGAGGATGGGGAGCGCGAGGTAAATCCTGCCGGTGCTGGTCCAGGGACACAAAGCTGCGATTACGCGGGGTGACCAAGTCCAGAGAGCTAGTGTACAGCCCGGACTACAGTGAGTAATACTGTATGTTATACTGGAAATGTCCTGAGAGAGCAGATCCCAGGCGCCCTCTGTAATGACAGCCTTGCATAAATATCAGGAAAATACCTAATCCCACAATCCCCCCAGTAACAGTTCAAGATCAACCCTCTGAGCCCTCTCTCTAACAGACACCCTGCAGGCGTTCTGTTTTGCACAATTTCTGAAAAGAGCTGAATGGAAGGAAGAGAAATCTCTCTCTTTCAAAACTGTTTTTCAAGAATCTGCTTCTGCGGAGTCCTGAGTAAGCAGCAGCAGAACGAGCTACAGCCTCAGCCATACCTCCAGGACCAGACGGCATCTCCTGTGATGTCCCTTCTCCAAGGAAAGGCAGGACAGCAAGTCCTGGACTTTGACATCCTTTCGGTTTTTGTCATCTACCTGCTGCCACTTTCGCTATCAACTGACATCGCTGTGTTTTGTCTCTTCGTCCCGAAGCATCAGCAAGCCACTTGGCCCCGCTGGGCACCCTTCTCGTTCTCCGGATGCCACCAGCTCCCTGCAAAGCCTCATGCTGCACACCCGGAATCCACACAGTCTCTATGAAAGAAGAGCACACAGAGCTCTCCTCATACACGCTCTCCAGACAAGCCCCTCAGGGCCACTGTAGGGTTAGAAACCACCAGAACGGCTAAGACGGCTGTGAATGTGTGCCAGCCGGCTATCAGCAGCAGTCTCTCGCTGCCTGAAGGGTAACGACGGCTCGAATCACCGCACTGCCCCTGGGGCGCTGGTCCCCCATGGCCGCCTGTAGCTCTGCTCTGCAGGGTGACATCACTGCACTGCCCCTGGGGCGCTGGTCCCCCACAGCCGCCTGTAGCTCTGCTCTGCAGGGTGACATCACTGCACTGCCCCTGGGGCGCTGGTCCCCCACGGCCGCCTGTAGCTCTGCTCTGCAGGGTGACACCACTGCACTGCCCCTGGGGCGCTGGTCCCCCACGGCCGCCTGTAGCTCTGCTCTGCAGGGTGACATCACCTACTGCCCTGGGGCGCTGGTCCCCACGGCCGCCTGTAGCTCTGCTCTGCAGGGTGACACACCATACTGCCCCTGGGGCGCTGGTCCCCCACGGCCGCCTGTAGCTCTGCTCTGCAGGGTGACACCACTGCACTGCCCCTGGGGCACTGGTTCCCCACGGCCGCCTGTAGCTCTGCTCTGCAGGGTGACACCACTGCACTGCCCCTGGGGCGCTGGTCCCGCACGGCCGCCTGTAGCTCTGCTCTGCAGGGTGACATCACTGCACTGCCCCTGGGGCGCTGGTCCCCCACGGCCTCCTGTACCTCTGCTCCGCAAGGTGACACCACTGCACTGCCACTGAGGCACTGGTCCCCCATGGCTGCTGTCACTGCCCCTGGGACGCTGGTCCCCCACGGCCTCCTGTAGCTCTGCTCTGCAGGGTGACATCACTGCACTGCCCCTGGGGCGCTGGTCCCGCCCGGCCGCCTGTAGCGCTGCTCTGCAGTGTCAGTCATCTCACCAGGCACAGGGAGCCAGCATGGTGTGGCACACAGGGCTGGGCTGCGAAATCGCCAAATCTGTGTTCGTTGCCAGCCCCACCGCTGGTGAGCTGCAGAGTGCCAGGCATCGCGTGTCTCTGGGGGTTTAGCTTTACCGTCTGCACAACGAGACAAACCTCCCCAACTCCCCCAGTTGGGGTACGGATCAGAAGACGTGGGACACAAACAGTCTGGGACGCAGCAGGCCCTTCAAACACTGCAGCTGTTAGTGTCACCAGTGCCTAAGCTTGCCGGGGCTCCGGCTGCCCTCCCCTGCCAGAGCACTGCGGGCTCCTGGCGCCATTAGACACCTGAACTGTGCCTGGGCAGCCCCAAACGTCTCAGAATCTGGACACATCTCATCTCCGCCTTTCCTCAGAGGCCAGATAAAAATTCTCCATTGTAGAGGCTTCATCCTGAGACTGCCAAAATCGGCTTGTAACGGAGATGCACTTTCTCCCTAAGTGGAAACATTTATCTTCACACCTTGCGGTGTTCCAGGTGAGGGCACCTGGCAGACCACTAGCTGTGACGCAGAGGAAACCGTGTGCCGCGTCACTGGGGCAGAGGGCGGAGAATGTTTCTTATAACTTGGAAGGGAGTGAGTACTGTCACTTACAAGATCCAGGAGGCTCAATGGATATCCCAACGGAGCAGGCCCTGAGGCTCAGGGGCCCCCTGCCCGCAC